ATTCGTAGGGGTCAGAACGGATTAACCGTATTTACATTGAACCTTATGGAAAAATTTGATTTGGGTCGCGACCAATTTGGGTCGCGACCAGAGTCACGGAACGAATTAAGTTAGTGACCCGAGGTACCACTGTATATATATATTTCAGTAGAAGAGAATATCTGTAGCTCAGGGTTGAACTGTGGAGTTCTTGGTGCTCTGTGAGCTTGGTTGTTTGCTTGCAGATGTTTGTTTACCCAACTAGGTAACATCATTTTTTAAATAACATTTATTAATTTTTTTAAAAAAGGAACAGTAAAAGCTAACAAAAACTAATATTGAGAGAAAGATTAAGAAGAAGAAAAAGAAAATTGAAAGAAAAGAAAATAGTAAAGATCAAAAGTGCAGAAAAGAAAAGAAACAACAAAAGAAAAATAGAATTGACTTCCGACCCTCCTTGCAACAGATGCAAGTAACAATATACATCAAACTCTTACTCTAAGTTTAAAACATAACTTCCATTATTTCTATTAACCCATATTATTTCTAATCATCAAATCCATACAACATAATTTCATTTTTTTTCTGTTTTCCGCAAAAAGTCCCCAAAAGGTCCAACTAGGTAACATCGTCAATGCCACTCAGAGAGCACCAAGAACTCCACTACAGGTAGTCCTCGCTTAATGACTACAGTTGGGACCGGCAACTCAATCGCTAAGCAATGTGGTTGTTAAGTGAGATATCACGTGACCGCAACTTACAATTTTACTGCCAGCTTCTCCATTGACTCTGTTTGTCAGAAACCAGTTGTGAAACATACAAATGACAATCTTGACTGCGTGAGGCTGTGATGGTTGTAAACATCCGCTGGTTGCAAAGTGCCCGAGTCTCGATCACATGACTGCGGAGACCCTGCAATGGTGGTAAGTGCGAGGACCAGTCATAAAGTTATTTTTTCAGCACAGCTGTAACTTTGAACAATTGCTAAACAGAGTAGACTTTAAGCAAAGAAGAGAGAGAGAGAGTACAAATGCACCTGATTCTTTTTTAATAGTCCCATTGTTCCATATTTTTAACAGATTTTTAAAAATTGTTAAATAATCTTGCAACTATTATTGGATTGTATCTTACCTTATTTATGGGTAGATGTGTGTCAAATTGGGCTATAGGTTGCATTCATTTTCTTTGAAAGGGCCCAGTCTCAACTGAGTTTCATAGCTACATTAAAAAATCTGATCTAATCAATTTTACAACAAAGATTGTTTGGGTCGACTTTTCCTATTTGTTAGTTGGCTCAGAAAGAAAGGTGCAGTGCATATGCCCCAGAAACATCCCTCTTCTTAAATTTTTCTTTGTATCATCCTGATCTAATGAAATAAATTTATTTTTTTACAAAGGATGAGGCAAAAGGAAGAAGATAACATATACACCACCAATGGCTAATTGCAGTTAGAATGGTCAGAATACTATTCCAGGAGAGAAAGAAATTTCAAGAAGGAGTTCATTAAGGATTTCTTGTTAGTTGGACTAGCAAGAAGCTGTTTCAAGTGTCATGAAGTATTTGAATTTTTTTTTTTTACAATGTTCGTAAAGAAAACTTTGAGTAAATAAAGCATGGAAAAGAAGACAGGTGCCCTTTGGTGTCATAAAATTCAAAGCAGCAAAGAAAGGTATGCCAACAATCATTCACCTTTTTTGGGCAGAATGTTTCTTGCTGTGCTTCAGATATGTTCCTATTCACATGCACATTTCTCATGTGGATCTGGAACAGTATGTAGGTAAAATCAGAGTGGATAATAATTTCCTTTCTTATTTGGGTAAATCCCAACCTGAAATTTAACCATGGTAATGACCATTCTTCTGAGAGTACAGTAAAGGCTAGACATAAAGGTAACAGGGCTGGCCAGCAATTTTGAAATAACTGCTTAATTTTAGTAAAACAAACCCAAAAGCTTAAGCAAAACTGCACATCTAATTAATTCACATGTTTTACTGCTCTTGATTTTTTTTTATTTTTATCTGTTTATGGTTCCTGTGGAGAAATAGTTTTGGTGATGTTTTAGAGAGAAATGATACTACATTACACCTAATTTTACTGCTAAAGAATATTTTACTATTAAATGAAGAGCCTGTCTTTTTATCACTATTTGCTGATTTATTGAGGTGAATTTTTTTATAATGTGGCATTTTTAATGTTCATTTTGCAAAGGTGAATGGAAACCCGTTTTGAGAATTGAAGCAAAGATTCCTTTAACAATTTGTAAAATATAGGTATGCTGTCAACTGTGAAAAAAGAAGAGTGAACAAAGGCAAAGAAAGGGAAGGAAAATTGAAAGGTATATCACCCGGGAGCTGGAATAAGGACGTTATGGCCAAAGAATTGAATGATTTATGGAATGAGATCACTAGTAATGAAGCTGACTAAAAGGAAAGAGAAACTGATCAGTGATAGGGAAGGGGAAGAGGATATAGGTTTTAAGGGACTGAAAATAACTATTGGCTGTTAGTTAAGCAAAGAAATGTTGGTGAAAAGTTTGACTCCTTAGACTTACCATAAATGTAGGTTTTTGAGGTAAGGGAAGATTTGATTTCTTTTGCAGAGTTGCTGCTTGTTTTTCTAAGGAAGATATATTCTTTTGGGAAGAGGAAAAGATTGTAGGTCAAATGTCTTCCTTTTTCTAGAAAAAAAGATGACTTCTCCAAAACTACCCTTTGCAATCTGAATTCTGATTACTTTACCATTCATGCTGCCATTCTTCATACCACTTTATTTGATGTTTAGACTATAAATCAGTTTGAATAACCAAAAATGGGCCAATTGCTAATTTCTAATATGAAAATATAAGACTATCCCTGGAACCACAAGAGGGAGTTAGTTGCCCACCCTTGTTTTATACCATGTGCTAACATACCTGAGACTTGTGACTTCTTGCGCTTGGCAAGCAAAGAGGGATTGTGAGATGGGAAGTGACTACTATCTTTTGAAAAATCACTGCATGAAAGAGTAACCTGTTCTGCTTTTGGTAAGGCCCAATCTGCCCCTTTACTGGCTGAGCCCTGAGATTTAAGAACTTTACTGTCTTCAGTTACTAATTTTTACAAGCTGTGAACAGGCCCAAATTCTTCACTTAAAAGAAGACTGTTCCACAAATCAACATTGTCACAGGCTATATACTGAAACTGGTCAGTGGCAAATCAAGACCAGTCCTAACTTCATTCTAAATATAAAAAAGACAACTTCTTGGCATCTTTATAAGATGGGCATCTCTACAAGATGGGGCTATTGTATCTCCATCACTTCTTTGGCTAAAAGAAGAGTTTAGTGTGTCTATGCAAAAGAAAGTCAAATGGAATGAAGTACAGTAATGAGCAGTGCTTCCTAATGCACATCTTTAGAAATCTTTTTGGCTATTCTAGAAGCCAAAGCAATCAGGAGAAGCCCTTGGGAATCTAAATACTCTTTAACTAGGATGAGTTTATTGTAGTAAAACTGCCATGCCTGACACTGGAGAATTATGTGAAGAATACTTGGCAATAGCAGTGGAAAGTTAGCCTAGTAAGCAGTAAATTATCCTGGCCTCTCTGCAAAGAAGGTTAATGCATTTCACAAAACAAGGGGAAAGAAAGAATTGTTAATATGATCAATGCTATATAGAAGAATAACCGAATGTTCACAAATTTGTCACATGTCTAGACATAACCTGACCTATTTTTGTATATATTGTGGCTAGAGTGCCTTAGGGGTGGGCTAACTAGCATATCTTGCAGCCTGTGTTAGGAATCATAGAACGTTTGAACAATAATCATCTCAATTTGGAACACCTGCAGTTGAATATTTGTGTTCTACCCAAGAGGTAAAATCATTCTTCTTATTCTAAAGAAGAAAATGATATTCAAGGTTAAAAAGAAATGTTTCTCTAATATAGGCTGAAAGCTGGCTTGGCTACAATCAATTATCAAAATAACCATGAAAACCTCTGGTCAGATCACATAAAATATGCCAGAAGACAAGCTATGACAAAAATGGGCCTCCATTGTACTTGGTATGTTCTGTGTAACACATTTTAAAATCTGAAACCCATAATTGGAGGGAGGAAGTACATGCATTAACATGAAATATATGAACAAGCTAAAAGTCATGGACATCTAAGCACATGGCAAATTGAGCAAGTCAAGCCATTCTTGACTAATACTCTCAGATAATCCATCTCTAGTGCAATTGTCACAATTCTCTTCTCTTTACAAGGAATGTTGTCTAGAACAATGTTGACAGCATTAAGGAAGTGTTGTTAGGACAAGGCCAAAGTTGTGACAATAATCACTGCTAAAATGACATTTGTAATAACATAACTGAAATATGATATCAGTCACTTGGGTAACTAATTATAATATAATGATATGTTTCAAACTTTTAGAGGTAATTTG